GGGGGGACATGGGGACATGGACCATGACACTTCACAGCACCATCATCCCTATTTTTTGACCACTTTTTCCTACTTTTCCCCCCTTTTTCCCTGGAAACAGATCGCCCAGACCATCCTGACCCGGGACTGCTCCCAGTCCTGCACGTGCCGTGGCCCAGGGGGGCTCCAGTGCCGCCCCTTCTCCTGCCCCCTGGGCCACACCTGTGACCTCTTGAATGGCACCCGGACCTGTGTCCCCCGCCCGGGGCGGTGCCTCCTGTCCTCCCCCACCCACTTTGTCACCTTCGATGGCCTCTCCGGGGCCACCCTGGCCACTGGCGTCTACGTGGTGGCCACCATGTGTGACCTCCGGGCCCCCACCTGGTTCCGGCTGCTGGGGGTCATTGGGGACATCGGGGACCACCCAGGGGTAGTGGGCCTTCACCTCTTCACCCACCAGGGGCTCATCACCGCCCACACGGACAGCAGGGTCTGGGTGAGTTGGGCCCAAAAGTGCCACTCCTGACCTTGGTTTTAACCAAAAATCTGGGTTTTTTCCTTTATTTCATGCTGGGAAAAAGTCCATGTGGGTTGTCCCATCCCACCACCACAAGATGTTCTGACCTTGATTTTGCCCCAGATTGCTCTTTTTTCCTCTGATTTCACGCCAGAGAAGCACCTACATGGGTTGTCCCTCACCATGCCTTGACCCACCTCATCATTTTGACTAAAATTGCTCTTTTTCCCCCCAATCGCTCTTTTTTCCCCCAATTTTGTGCCAGAGAGGCACCTATATGGGTTGCCCCTCATCCCACCCCCCCATGCCTTGATCCATCCCATCATTTTGCCTAAAACTGCTCTTTTTTTCCCTAATTGCTTTTCTCAATTGCATGCCAGGGAAGCAGCTCTGTGGGCGATGGTCACTATGACACATCCATAGACTGACCTACCCCATCATTTTGGCTAAAATTGCTCATTTCTTCCCAGTTTCATGAACCTACAGGTTGTCCCTCATCCCACCATGCCTTGACCCATCCCATCATTTTCCCCAAACTCCCTCTTTCCCACCCAGACTCCTCCAATCCCCACTCCCACATCCCAATACCCAAATCCCCCACAATTTGGCTTTTCCAGCTCAACGGAGTCCCCACCACCCTCCCCGCGGAGCTCTCGGGGAAGTTGAACATCACAGAGTCAGGCGGGACCCTCCGGATCAGGTGGATCCCAGGATTCCAGGTGGAACTGGGAGCCCAGGGGGTTGCCCTGGAGGTGACAGAGGACACTCGGGGGACCCTCTGTGGCCTCTGCGGGGACTACGACGGGGCCACAACCAATGACCTGCGGGGCCCGGACGGGACACTGACAGGGGACACGAGGGAGCTGGCACAGGCCTGGAGGGCTCCTGACTTCAGCCAGGTGGGGACACCTGGGGGGGCAAAGGGGGAGGGGCTTGTGGGGGTTGGAAGGAAAAAAGGGGAAAAGAGCGTGAAAAAGAGGGGGAAGAGCCCGCCCAGCAAGGAGAACGATGGAAAAAAAGTTGGAAAAGAGCTCAAAAAGGAGGGAAAGAGCCTAAAAAAGAGGGGAAAAGAGAAAAGAGGTGAAAGAGCCAAAAACAGGGGGAAAGAGCCCAAAAAGAGGGAGAAAGAGTCCAAAAAAGAAAGAGACCCCAAAAAAGGGGAAAGAGCCCCCCAAAAATGGGAGGGTAGCACAAAAACGGGGGGAAAGAGCCAAAAAAGGGGGAAAAGTGACCAAAAAAGGGGGAAAAGAGCCTCCCAAAGTGGGGGGGGACAGCCTTAGAAAACAGGGGAAAGTTCAAAAAAGCATGAAAATGACCAAAATAGAGGGAAACTGCCCCAAAGCTCCCCTGGATTTTTCCTTTTTTCCCTCCCAGTGATGCGGAAAATCGACTTTTCGCCGCTGCCATGACCCGAAACCGCCCCGGAGACGGAACAGCCGCGTTTCTATATCCCTCAAACCCGCCCTTCCCCTCCCCCCCCCAAAAAAGAAATAAAAGTTGGGGAGAAAACGCCGTTTGTGGGTGATTTGTGGGTGGAATTCCGGGAGTTCTGGGGAAAGCAGGAGCGTGGGAATGCGGGGGGGGTGTCCCGGGGCCGGGGGGGTCCCGCCCCGGGCGGTTCCGTGTGCCCCCTTCCCCCCCCCGTGGGTCAATATTTCCCAAGGCCCGAGTCCCACGGGGGGGAGGGGCGGGGGGGGCACCCGGATGTGGGGGGGGGGGAGGGGGGTCCCGGACATCCGAGTGCCCCGGAGGGAGGGGGTGGCTGCACAGCTGGGGGGGTCCCCTCCCCAGTGTCCCCAGTCCCTCCCAGTACACCCCAGCCTCCCGCCCCCCCGTTTCCCCCAGTGTGCTCCTCAGTGTTCCCAGTTCACCCCAGTAATTACCCCCCAGTCTCTTCCAGGCATCCCCAGTTGATCCTGGTCCCCTCCAGTGTGCCCCCACTGTCCCCAGTCCCTCCTAGTGCATTCCAGTCCCCACCCCCCCATCCGCCACAGTGTTCCCAAATCCCTCCCTGTTTGTCTCAGTGCCCCCCCAGGGTCCCTCCCCAGCCTTCCCAGTGTCCCCCAATATGCCCCAGTACCACTCAAGTGCCTCCCAATTCATCCCAGCCCCCCTCGGTGCCCCCCCCACAGCCTCTCCCAGTCCATTCCAGTCCCCCCCAGTTGCGGTCTGGGCAAAGACGGAACTGCCCGGGGCCCTGGGAGGTGCCACCTGGGGGTGTCCTGTGTCATCCCCCCCCCCCAATGTCCCCAACCCTGTCCCCTCCCCGGGTATAAAGTGGCTCCAGTCACAGCAGTAGGACAGACTGGGACCATGAGAGTGCAGTGAGTGGGGGCACTGGGGGGGACATGGGGGACAGGGGGGGACATAGGGACATTGGGGGACATGGGGACATTGGGGGACATGGGGGGACATGGAGGGTCATGGGGGGACATGGGGAGACATGGGGACATGGGAGGTCATTGGGGTCATGGGGGGACATTGGGAGACATGGGAGGTCACTGGGGTCA